TCAAAAGATATTAAAATGATTAATAATAAAATTAATTTAAAAATTATTTATAATAAAAGAATTTAAAATTTACAATATAAAAAATTAAAAATTTAAAATTTATAATATCTAAACAAATATCCTGATAAGCTCATTTTCGTCAAAATAAGTTTCTTAAAAATATTAAAGATATAGATCAATTAACTGATTTATATGATTCAACAAAACATAGAATACAATCGAGCACTTGTGAATTATGTACATCAGATAAAATTAAATATTTAAAAAAGCATTGGCAACAAGTTTTTCTTTATCCAGAAGATTGCATATCTTCATCAAATATTATTAAAAAGAAATATGAGATTTCTTTAAAAAATTATTAATTACAAAGTTAATTAAAAAACTAAGAATTAATAATTCTCATGAAAAATCTGAATTTTCTTTAAAATATTTAAAATTAATTGAACACATAATAAATAATTATAAAAATAATGAAAATAATAAGGATGAGGATATAGATGAAGATGTAAATGTAAATGTAAATGTAAATGTAATGTGAATGAGAATGTGGATGTGAATGTAAATGAGAATAAGAATGAGAATGAGAATAAGAATGAGAATGTGAATGTGAATGAGAATGTGAATGAGAATGCAGATGAGAATGAAGATGCAGATAAGAATGAAAATGCAGATGAAGATGAAGATGCAGATGAGGATGAAGATGCAGATGAGGGTATAGATAAAGTTATATAGATTTCTTTTGGTAAATGGTTAGGGATAGAAAAGTTATTGATTAAAAAAAAAGTAAAAATAGTTATCAAAAATAAATGGAAAAAACTTCAACATGGTTTAATTTATCAAAATAATCAAGATATAGTATTAGATATTAATACTATTGGTGATAATTTTAAATATAAAGATAGTTTAATTAAATCAGCAAATGAAAATAATAATACATTAGACAAATTAAAAAATTATTATTATTTAACAAAATCTGAATGTATTGTAGGTCAAAATAATCAAACTTTAATACATTTAGATAGCATTAATAATAATAATGCTATTTTACAAGCTACAAAAGCTGTAAATGATTATTATTTTCATACATTAGATAATCCATCACACAGAAGTGATTCTTTTTGGAATGATATGGTTGAACATTTTGAAGCTTATAGAACATATAATCAATTTTCTTATATTAATACAGAAATGTCGAGTAATCATAATCAAAATCATTTAAAATGTATAAATAAATTAATCATTGTTCTTGAACCATTATCAAATTGTATTAATCAATTTGTTAAAGAGAATTATAATAATTTATATATAAAATTAAGCAATTTTTCTTGGGGTCTATTTGCACCAAGATCTTTTGGAATTTTTCCAATGATTGCTATTAATTTTAACACAATAAGTGATTTTCATTGGAATGAAAAAGATGAAGAAAATTGTTTTTGTATTTTAATTGCTTTAGGAGATTATGAAGGAGGTGAATTATGCTTTCCTCAGCTTAATCTTATAATACCTTTAAAACTAGAACAAATTTTATTATTTCATTCTCATTTATTATTACATAGAAATTGTATTTTAACTAAAAGTATTAGACATAGTATTATCTATCATTTACATAAAGTAATGATAAAATAAGGACAATCTATGATTAAAAAAATTTATGATGATTTTGAAAAAAAAATTGAAAGAAATAACAAAGGAAAGATTATTGATAAAAATCCTAAACAAAATCTTTTTAAAGCTCCTCAAAATTTACCAATAAAGAAATTTACTAAGCTAAAATCATTTCAAACTAAAATGGAATTATTTAATGATCAAAGAAGATTTAATATTGGTAAGTAATATTTTAAATATTATTATATAAAA